AGGGTTTCAGTTTGGGCTGATGAAAAGTTCTGGTGATGGACAATATTGACTATTGCACAATGTGCATGTACTTTGAGAAACTGAACGCTTAAAAAATGGCTACAAAGGTAATTTTTATGTTGTATATATTTTACCACAACTTAAAAAAATACATTGGCTTCATAGAAAAAATATACATGCCAAAGCTAACTACTATCCTAAATAATTAGGATAATTTGTACTGTATTTGTACTACTGTACCTGTCTACCACAATGAGTAATTAAAGAGTTGACCACAGTTCATAATTAAATCTTAGGTCAAATATAAATGATACTGGGAATAGACTCCTACAAACACATGTTAAATCTGTTATGACTGAAAATTCACTTATTTCAAGTCTATATTTTTGTTCATAAAACCAGGAGGCAAGTCAGAACTGTGACAGCCTTTTTAAGTCAGCACTTGTATGTCTGGAAATCGCAGTAGCGTTGTTAGATCTCTTCTGATCCAAGAAGTGTAGTTTGCAGACAGCCCCCAGCTGGTGTATCTTCAGAATCCACCACACTGTTGATGCTGATGTGACAGTCCCTGGGCATCTCTGGTGACTGAGCTTGGTAGGGATAGGAGTGATGGGCCATTCCTGTCTAATGGAGACCTCTCTTAATGGGCAGTCTTTGCTCTGGTGCTCCCCAGTAGCCTGGCTGAGAATTCAGAGCTGCACTGCTGTGTGGACTCTCCTCCCCCTACCCCCTTCTTCCTTCACAGGTGTCAGGTCAACAGCCCAGCTTGAGGTTCTCCCATCTCCTGCCCCCTCTCCCCTATAACCTTCACATAGCATTTCTGGTAGAATTGCACAACCGGGCTCAGCGCCTATAGCTCAACCGGCTAGGGCGCCAGCCACGTACACCTAAGGTGGCGGGTTCGAATCCCCAGCCCGGACCTGCCAATCAACAATGACGGCTGCAACCAAAAAATAGCCGGGCGTTGTGGCGGGCGCCTGTGGTCCCAGCTACTTGGGAGGCTGAGGCAGGAGACTCGCTTGAGCCCAGGAGTTGGAGGTTGCTGTGAGCTGTAATGCCACAGCACTCTGCCCAGGGGGACAGCTTGAGGCTCTGTCTCAAAAAAAAAAAAAAAAAAAAAAGAATTGCACAACCGGTCCTAGCTTGGTGTCTGCTTCTTAGAGCTGACACACAAATATTGTGGGATAAGTTTTGTTTGGCATTATGAGTTGACTTATAAAAAATTGTATTGACTTGAGCCATGCCTGTGGCTTAAAGAAGTAGGGCGCTGGCCCCATATGCTGGAGGTGGTGGGTTCAAATCCAGCCCTGGCCAAAAACTGAAAAAAAAAAAAAAAAAGAGCATTGACTTGATTCAAATAATTGCTTTACTTTAATAATATTAAAAGAATGAAGATTGTTCCCTGAAAATTGGTTCTCTCGGATATGTCAATCTGGCTGACTTGAACTAGGATAGTAGTTAGCTTTGGCATATATATTTTTTCTATGAAGCAAATGTATTTTTTTAAGTTGTGGTAAAATATATATGACATAAAAATTACCTTTGTAGCCATTTTTTAAGCGTTCAGTTTCTCAAAGTACATGCACATTGTGCAATAGTCAATCAGGCTGACTTATATTCAGCCTGATTTGTCTAGGCTGAATATAAGCTGGAGGCTTATATTTCATCAAGGCTGCCAATGGAGGACACAACACACCCAAACAAAGAAGTGAACCGGGAAAGAATGGAGAACAGGAAACTGAAATAGACTCATGTGGGGACCACAGATCAAAGCACCAGGAGAGCACCACAGAGCTGCTCTCTGTGTCAGGCTGGGAAACTGATGCTGGACTAAGGCCTCTTCTTAGGAATGTTTGGTGTTTTAGCTTTCTGGGGCTGCTCTAACACATTACACATTAAGGGTGGCTTAAAACAACAAGAAGTCATTTTCTCACAGTTCAAGAGGCCAGTTTTAAAATAACGGTGTCAGCATCCTGGATCCTTCTTAGGGACTCACAGGAAAATTCCACAATTTTCTCCTGGCTTCCATGGCTGCTGGCAATCTTTGCATTCCTGAGCTTGCGACAGCACAACTCCAATCTTTGCCTTATTCATGGCATGGCCTTCTTCCTGCATGTCTGGGTCCAAATTGGCCTCTTCTTATAAGGTCGCTAGTCGTACTGCTTATAGGATCCACTCCAGTCCAGCATGACCTCATACTGACTACATCTGCAAAGTCACTATTCTAAATAAAGTCACATTCACAGGTTCCAGGTAGACATGCCTTTTTTTTTGGTGGGGGAAAGATACTATTATTCACCTCTGTACATCTGGGAACTTGAATACAGATTAAACACTAGCCTTGAGAGGGGAAAGAATTTCCTGGTGGTGAGACTTTGAAAATAGGAATACGGGGTCTGGCTGCAGATCTGAAACATCAGATGGTATAGACTGCCTTCTTTCCTGACCACCCTTCCTCCACAATTAAGATGATTACTTAATTGATTCTTTGGCTTCCAGTCTTCAGAGCCCCATGGAACATCCAGCTTGGGAATGCACGTGTGTTGGTGCATTTTCCCTGCTCCTTTCCCACCCCGCCCCATCCCAACTACTTTTATAGAGGAAGGCAGACCCTAGAGTCCAGTTACCAGACTCGGGCTGTCGTGGAGACATGCTGAGCTGCACTACTGAAATGGAATGGTGGAGGAATTTAGGTTTGTTTCTCAGCTTTTACTCAATTCTTTTTATGTTGACCTCCCCATGACTCCTAGTTCTGGAACATTCAGAGGATTCTGCAGTAAATCATGGTGTTTTTCAGCTTTCTGCACCACCAGCTCAGAATTTGTCTATCTCTGTCCTGCTAAGTCAGTTTCTATCCTCCCATCTACTTTCCAGATTGCAAAATTTTGTTGCTGTTGTCTCTTTTCCTGTTTCTCTCATAGTTGAGATTTTTTTCAGTGTGAGTATCCAAATATCTATCTATCATCTATCTATACACCCATCTACCTACCTGTCTTTCCATCCACCCAATTCCCTTTTCACTGCAGTGTTAGTGAGGCTTTGGAGGGAGTGAAGTTAGATGAGTATAGTAATCTGACATCTTAACCCGGAAGCCCAGATTTAAAGCGATACCAGTCAACTCCTGTAATGTTGAGCTGCACAGGTGAAGAAATGAAGTAGATGGACAGATTTAATGAAGATTGAAGCTTTGCCAGGTATGAAGGGAGCAAGGTAACAGAACTTAAGGGTGCTTTATTTGCAAGGGAGTAATTATAATGATGTACTCTAGAGTCTAAAGCTGGGTAAGTAGGGTAGTGAGAGCATGACAGAGATGATGAATGAAAATCAGGGGTCAATGGATTGAAGTCTCAAAGATTTTTGAAAAAGTGCTCAATTGGGTACACAAAGTTAAGGGAGCAGGACAGATGGTGAGTGGAAGGCTGGAAATTTAGAGTTAAGATTTGGAGGACTATTGGGTGTGGCCTTGAGAAGGGGTGGTGTGGCAGACTATTTTCCAAAGATGGTCACAATCTACACATCCCGTTTGGCCTTCTATAATGTAACAGTGCCACACCTCCATTAAGAAGTGGAGTCTTATTCCTCCCTGTTCAATCTGGGGCTGGTCTTATAAAACTTGTCGATAATCAACTGGGTGGAAGTGAAGCTGTGTGACTTCTTAAGCTAGGTCCTCATTCTCCTGGAATGCTTCCTCTTGAGGGAGCCAGTGAATGGTGTGAGCAGTCTGCCATGCTGGAGAGGCCATATGTTGATAGCTCCAGTTGAACCTAACCTTAAGCATCCCTGCCAAAATATTAGACATGTGAGCAAAGCTGTCTTGGACTCTACTGGAACAGCCAACTAGGACCAATGAGTGACTTCAGGTGATACTATTAGGAACAAAACTGCCCAGATGAAGCCCACCTGAATTCTTAACCTACACAATTTAGGAAGTAGTGGCAAAATACCTGTGATTTCCAAGTCTTTTTTGTCTGGATCTCTCCCATGAAATCTAGACCTACGTATCTAACTGCCTTCAGAACACTTACTGAATAGCATGGCTAATAGACCTCAAGTTTAACATGCCCCAGGTTGACTTCTGGATACTTCCCTCAAGCCTGCCCTTCCCTATCCCAGTTAAAGGCAATTCAGTTCTTCCAACTGTGCAGGCCAAAAACCTTGGTGTCATCCCTTACTTCTTTCTTTCTCACACTCCATATCCAAAGTTAGGAAATCTCACTGGCTCTATCTCCAAATTATATCCAGATTACAACCACTTCTCACCATACCACTGCTACTACCTTAGTCCAAACCACCGTCTTCTTACCTGGATTATTGCACAGTCTCTTTACAGGTCAAGCTGAAGCTGCTCTTGTTCATCTTTAGTCTACTCAGCAACGTATCAAAAGGGATCCTGCTAAATATCAGCCAGAGTATATCCCTCCTCTGCTCGGAATCTTCCCAGGGCTCTCTGTAATAAATGCCACAGTGCACCTGTGGCCTCCCTCCCCTCTGTGCTCATCTCTATCCTCCTCTCATGCTTAGCTATGATGGCGTCCTCTCTGTTCCTTATCTGGATAAGCACAGTCCTGTTTCAGGGCCTTTGCACTGCCATTCCCTTTGTGGGAAAATTCTTTCTCAGAGATCTACATGGCTAGCTCCATACTTTCCTTCAGGTGTTATTCAAAAGTAACCTCCCCTGTGAGATTGCCCACACCTAAATTTCAACCTGCCACCGGGACAGCCATTCTTTGCTTTTTTCCTCAGCATGTATCACTGTCTAATATGCTACATACAGTATTTTACTTATTTATCCCTTATTTTCCCTAGGTAAGTGTAAGTGCCACAAGGCAAACAATTTTGTCTAATTTGTTTACTGCTGTTTAGCTAGGGCCATGCACATAAAGAACACTGACAAGTATTTTTATTGAATGACAGAATTTCTGAGCACAGTGTGTATGACCCCATTCCAAGGGAAACCAAAAGGCAAGGGTGGATACAGCTGAAGGAAGTTCTAACAAGAGATAATTGTAGCTTTCATTTATTACCTCTTTATTTAATCATTTATTCACAATATTCTCATGCATTCTTGATGGATACCTGTGTTTAACAAAGAAAGGGTGACTCCACTAAGCACAGTTCATTTATTTTTCACGACGTTCCTCTTTGGATTTTGAGTCTTTACTGTCCTGGAGTCCCAAGAGAACTGCATCAGCCTCTAGTATGGTTGTGTCTGTTGTTGCTCCCAGAAACCTAGATGTAAGTTCAAGATCTAACAGCCGCAGCCGGACCCTGGTTCCTTTTCGGTATTTCCTAAATAAGAAAAAAATTCCATTAATTCTGCATAGTATAATGTAAATGCCTAGTTTAAAAATAAAATCCAAATTCTATTTTTAATTTGTGTTGGCTCAGTATAATGAGGTTAACACTAGTATCTGGGAAATAGTTGTATTTGACATATGAGTGATTTGGTTATATAGGAATTTTTGTCTTAAAGTTGCCTTTGAAGATTTTATAACCACAATAAAAGTATACACCAAACTGAAATTCAGACAAGTCAGTTCTTAACACTGGCATTTATCTTAATATGTCATTCATTTTTAAAGTCAGAGAGTATCAAGGGGAGAAAAAGTTTTCAGATACATTTTTCCTCCTAAAATTAAAATATTCTTTTAAAGTAAAATTTTACAAAAGCAAATGGAAAAAGGAAAAAAAAGCCTAAAAAGCCCAAAGTACTCAGTATTTGGGACTGACTGCACCGTTATTAAAGACATAGTGCCACTTGGAAGAACCTGGAGGTCATTATGTGTAGTGAAATAAGCCAGACACAGAAAGACAAATGGCACGTGATCTCACTTATCTGTAGAACCTAAAAAGTTGAATTTATAGGAACAGAGACAAAGACAGCCCCCATGGTTATAAGGTCAAAGGCTATTGGTCAAAGGACACAAAATTTCAGTTAGAAAGGAGTAGGTTCAAGAGATCCAGTGTACATTATATGATTTTACCTAATAATGTTGTGTTGTGTGTTTGGAAATCCCCAAGAGAGTAAATACTCTCATCACCCATAATGGTATGTGAGGTAATGCATGACTTAGCTCAATTTAGCCATTCTACAGTGTGTATATATTTCAAAACATATTGTTCATAATATATTTACACAATTTTTATTTGTCAATTAAAAAAGTAGATAAATTAGGAAAAAATATAATACCAGTCATAACATCATGATGATTCAGTTTGGTCAATACAACATTTAAGTATTTTATAATACTAAATGAAAAGTGACATTGACTTGCCTTTCTTTCTTATTTTAAAATTTTAACATCAACATTATAGAAAAGCAAGAATAAATATACCACCACTGATTAAAACCCACAAATCTTTAATGATCTAAATATATACTTCAAATACTGTAATTTTGAAATTAAGATAATTTTATATAGAAGATGAAGCAATAAACTTCTCAAAACAGTCATAGGAAAATAATTTTGATAAGCCATGTATTAATAATGAATAGTTTCCACCTAATATTCGATGAGGTATTTTGAAGGAATTTATAAATGATCCATCAAGTAAAAATTTAGGTTATTCAGTCTTTTTTTTTTTTATTTTTTTTATTTTTATTTTTATTTTTATTTTTTTTTGAGACAGAGCCTCAAGCTGTCCCCTTGGGTAGAGTGCCGTGGCATCACAGCTCACAGCAACCTCCAACTCCTGGGCTCAAGCGAGT